GCTTACAAACTGATCACAAATACCACTATCTAATGGATTACATCAGGTTGACTGGTTTTAAATGTTAAACTCAATCTAGTTTAACATGGAATTCATACACCTGTATTTTTTATGTATAAATAAATGCATATATATATATATATATATATATATATATATATCGGGTGTACACATTAGAAAGTGTGTCTGTGAAATCTAAATAAATAATCATTTAAACATATGGCTTATATTACATCTGTTACCAGCTTGGGGTTTCAGTAGATGTTTTAATGTTTTCTTCCTTCTGTACCTGGTCTACTATGTACTACTCCAAGTTTAAGAATGCGTCGGGCAAGGACGGAACACCGACTGCTTGTATGATTGGCAAGAATCCCACCAGTGAAATATTCAGGAACCATATATGTGTGCTTGGCATACGATTCGCTCCTATGAAAAGTAAGATGATAGAGCAAGAGTTGACTCTTGCGGCAGCAACATAAAGCTCACGAACTGACACTGATGAGTGTGTTGACAATTTCACTCATTAGGCAATATGCAAAAACCCCACACAATAAGCATATTACTTAAAAATTGCCAGGTCGGATAGCACAGTCTCGAATGCAAATCAACAGCTACCGTGGAGACCTCAGAACTGGGTCCTGATAAAAAAGTGTCATAAGAAAAGTGTATCAGTTCGCACTGTCTTAGAGTTTTGAAAAAATAATGCCGAAAATGAAAGATAAGAAGAGGCTAGCCGTCTTCGGCTGTTGGTATTCGCGTTCTGTTTCTTGTGTTAGATGGTATAATATGGTCACCAATGATGAGGTTAGGCGAAGAGTGTTAAGTAAGAGGTGAAAGGCAGTCGATGGGGAGTTGTTAAAGTAAATTTATTAAGGTGGATAGGATATGTATTACAACCATTTCGTCAAGCAATTTCAGGCGTCGTAGGACTAGACAAGATTTAGGGATTGTCAAACATAAGATAGTATTATACACTTGAAATATGAAATATATTTCGGGATCAGAAATGTAGGGCAGCGATGTGTATTTACTTCCAACCGACAGTTGCTATCTGGACGTGGTGTTCGGCCTTACATATCGAAATGGCCCAGCGAGCTTCAGTGGCTGGAACTAATGCAGGTTTTACCATAGCAGAAAGCGTGTTTAGGTAGCGGTTATACTTAAAACAGTTACTATCATAGCGTAAGTGCACACTGGATAGGGTCTGAGGGCGAAGTCGTACTGTTGGGGAACAGGGATGTTGCAGTAGTGAGATGTTTCCCTCAGATGATCACTGAGGCAGTTAGCTATGCTGTCTGCTGTCCGTCTGGACGGATCTGCAAGAAGAAGAATGAGTGTGTTACCCGTCAATGTCTTTTCGTAATCTCCGCTTATGTCACAACAGACTGCGACTCGGGCGAAAAAAAGCATGATTTTTATTAGAAGCTGTTTAGTTTGCTGCTAAAAGCAAAAACAGTCGTTTTAGCAGGAAACTTCAGTGTTCAAGTAAGGGAGTTGTGCTAGGTTGAGAAGTATATTAGCGGCACCCACAGGATTCTATTCTGATGAAGCGACAACGGTGATCATCTTCTACAGCTTTCTTCAGACAGTCACCTGCTGCTGTTTAGCACCAACTTTAAATGTCAAGAGATTCTGCATACCCTGATGTCCTTCACCATGAAATCAACGATGGACTAAAACAGACCACGTGGCGATAAGCTATCATTGGTGAAGGTCGGTGGAAGACTGCTACTCCTTTTGCGTAGGCTTTGATCATACCTTGGTCTGTACTAATATAAGCCTACAAGTGAACACAGATAGATAACAGACATCAATGAGGACGCTAATCTGCCGACTGAATAATGACACTAACTCCCTATTTGAGGAAGAAATAGCTAGACGCGCATTGGAGACTGACAGTAAGAATCACCCTAAGGAAGCTTGGCACATTATCCGATCAGCTGTTCAGAGCATAAAACCAAAGGTTAGAACGTACCAGTGGATATCTGTCACTTCATCCGAAATAACAGACACAAGAAGACTGCTTCTAGCGAGCACCGAATATGATAAAAGAAAGCTGCTCAGATGCAAACTGACAAACAACTTTCTCAACGGTCGCGAACAGTGGTGGACGAAGAAAGCACAGTGGATTAGGGATTGGCGATAGGCAACAGCAGACAACTATTCAGGCTTATCAGAAAAAAGGTTACAAAAGGCAAACAACAAGTGAGATAGTCTCCGAGAGAAGTGGCGGTCTAATTAGCTATCAGGATAAACGACTGGAACATTGAGAGGAACATTTTTAGGATTATTTATTATTACTTTATTTATTTAAACGCATAAAAAACTTGGAACAATATGGCACCAAGAAAGATGCGCCACACAATAATAATAAAACAACACAGATCAAAGAAGAAAAAAAAATATATAAGTAGAGAACGGATAAAGAACTTCATCTGGAGGGAAGACACTCGTGCTTAACAAGTTCAAACAGTATTCGTTAACTATCATCGGGAAGCGAAGAAAGAAGGAAATTGCAACATGTTCGTCATTGATTATGATTCTTGGCCATATCCGATAACGTTTCGAGCCATCGATTTTAACTATCTCTCGGACCCCAACCAGGGAGTCGTGACACACCAACCGATGCTAATCTAGCACAAAAACCCTTCATCCCACGACGAAACGCCATCGATTGACCACCTCTTCGCCTTTTTCATCCCATCCCAAAGCTAGCGAACAGAGACCTGTACGGAAGCCTCTGGGGTGACATTCGCATCACATGTCCAAGCCACCGGAGCCGGTGTTCCCAGATGACGACACTCAATTAATGGCGATCTCCACTGTGTTCAAACACACGCCGCCGAACCTCAGAATTACTCAAGCGTTGATGCCATCGAACGCAAGCAATCCTGCGGAGATAGCGATGATCGAACACGCACAGCTGCTGCACATCCTCAGCTCAGAGAGGCCAGGTTTCACAGGCGCAGAGCAAAACAGCTCGCACCGAAGCATTGTATACCCGACCTCTGACGGCCAGACTAACGTCACGATGGCGCCAGAGGTGGCTCAAGTTGATGTATGCCACACTAGCCTTCATTATACGGTTGGAAATCTCATTCGTCACTAAACCGCCAGCACTTACACAACTACTCAGATACACAAACTTATCAACAACTTCAAGCGGTTCACCCGCAACAGTGAGTGCAGGTACAGGCTCCTGCCAATCTTGTAACAGTACTTTGCACTTAGACGGCGCCTAACACATACCATACTTACAGACACTGATTAAGTGTGATTTGGGCAGCCTGCATGCTATCGCACAGTAAGACGATATCGTCTGCATACTCAAGGTCGAACAGTCTATCTCCAGGTAGCAGATCTACACCACCTTCACGCACATCCTTCAGAGCTGACTCCAGAATGTCATCGATGGCAAAGTTAAAGAGAAATGGAGAGATGGGGAAACCCTGTCTAACCCCACTGTTGGTTGGGAACAGTGATGATAGTTGGTTGTATGCCCTCACTCTACCTGAGGTGTTTCTGTAAATGGCTTTCAGGATGTTAACAAATTTATCAGGTACACCTCTCTCTAACAGACAGTTCCAGAGCATAGTTCTGTCGAACGAATCGAAGGCAGCCCTAATATCAAGAAACACAATGATCGTTGGCCTGCAATACGTGTGGCGGTGTTCCAACAACTGACGAAGGGTGAACACATGATCAATGCATCCACGACCTGAACGAAACCCAGCCTGCTCTCCGCGAATCAATCCTTCACGTATTTCACACAGCCTGCGAAGCAAGACAGCAGCCAATATTTTAGACGCAACTGGTAACAGACTGATACCCCTATGATTGTCACACGAATTGCGTTGACCCTTTTTAAAGATGGGGACGATAATCGCTTCGTTCCACATTGATGGTACACCCTCTTTCCCCTATACCTTACTGAACAACCCAGTTAGAGCCATTGTGAGAGTCTCCCCACCATCTTTAAAATGAGCCGGGGGTAGATTGTCTGGGCCGGGCGCCTTATGGCGTTTTAATACTTGGAGTTCCTTACGGACCTCCGCTTCGGTGGGTGGGTCTTTTGCATGACAACTTGCACATGAAGCTAATGTTCATCTATACTACTTGGGGGGTTGCTGGCAAGCATTGTTAACTCATTCTGATATTTCAAAGAAGTAGCAGGTGCTACTAGTTTGTTCACATCAACGTTTATACGAAGGCTTTTATGAAATCCACCAAATCGCAAGACGAACTTGGCACACACTAACGCATGATCAGAGTCCAGGAATGTGCTCCAGAAGGAGCGACAGTCTTGTATGCATCCTCGCCACCGGAAAGTGACAGCAATATAATCAATCTGAGTCCAAGCTTGATCCGCAGAGGGAGGACGCCAGGTAGCGCTACGCCGATGGCTGTGCCGAAAGTTGGTGCTAGCTAGAAATAGGTTATGATCCGCGCAAAGCTGCAGAAGACGGTCCCCACTATCTGACCTGCGACCATGTAGTCCCCACTGACCACCTAGACGATTCTCCTCTCACCTTAGACGCCCGACCTGTGCATTCAAGTCCCAGCCAGCACTACGATATCCCTCAGACCCGCCTGTTTCAAGAGATCGCTCAGTTGGTAGTAGAACTCATCCTTCATTGCATCCGGGCTGCAATCCGTCGGTGCATATAGGCAGGGACAACAAATAGACACCGCCCATCTGACCCACTACCCCTTACTTTCGTATAACCCTCCAGCCTCGCAGCACATAAACTACCGTTAATGGGAATCCAGTCGAGCAATGCAGCTTCGGCTCTGGCGCTTAGTGCGACACCGACACCAGCTACGCCGGATGCCGACGCCACAGGGTCCCCGGATAAGCGCAGGTGGCAGTTTTATATTAATGAAATTCTTAAAATAAAATAAAATAAAACAAGAAGTACATTTTATTAAACTGGTTTAGAAAAAAAAGGCACAAGTCAGGTTGATAAAACGTTACATTAATTATACGTTAATGATATATATATATATATATATATATATATATGAATGTAGAAGGATAGGGGATGTCGAAATATACTCAATTTGTTCAATAAGTTAATGTCGGTTAATAATAAGACGAAAGAGAATAGCACGATAGAGACAGACAGAGGGACAGGGGATAGATAAGCGTTACACACATCATATTAATTAGGCATAAAAGGCAGAGGAAATATAAACGTGTAAACACAGATAGGCAAGAACATAAGTATTCATCTGCATAGGACAAGCTGTTTTCATATTAAGTTAATTAAACTGAGTAATTACTTAGAAAGAACTTGGTTGAGAATAGCTGCATATATAATATGTACTAAAAGTTGGTGAATATCAAAGTGACTTATACAAAATTAGTTACTTTCTAAAAATTCAATCAAAAGTATTTGGTATTTATGAAAAACCAACATAGCTAAACTTTTATTAAAAAAAAAACATGGAAAAAATGACCGAAAAAACGGCAATAATAAATAATAATAATGACAACCGGAGATTAGCAAACACACTAAGGTGCAACAATTAATCAGCACGCCTCTTAGTGCAACGGAATGAAATGTATGCTTCGTTATATAATATTATTATTATTGTAGTAGACAAGTGTAAAGTATGCGTATCAATTAATTAATAGCAGCATTTGTCTGGTTGACACGAATCAACATAGATTTGATTGTGTGAATAAGTTTTCATACAGATACATATATCTTCAAATAGCAGCAATTTATAATAATTATAGTGTGAAAAGTCTTTTCAATGTTGACATGTGTAAAACACTGACAGTAGTAGCACAATAAGAGAGGTATCCTATTCTAACCGTAAATACATAACTAATATGTGCAAAGAAATTTCTCTTCTATTTAATAATGTAAACCCCATTTTTTGCATATATTATTAAGGATATTAGGAAGAAGAAAAAAACAATTGAAAAAAGGCTTTAGGATATTGTTACGCTATAGCATAAAAGTTCATATATCATCATCTTGAGTAAATATTTAATTCTCATCAGTTGATGTGTTGTGATTGTTATTATTGACAGTACCTGGTCCAACTCCACCTCCACCGGGACTACTGCCGAAATCACTGGTTACAGAATCCAACTCATTCATCGAGTGGTTTTCATCCGGAGTTCCATCATCACCTGTACGCGTAGAAAGTACTGATGGTAACTGACGATTTGGTCTCGTAGTACTACTATTGAAAGATAAAAGAACACAGAAATCACTTTAAAAAAGATACTATCTCATCATGATACTACTCAACTCAACTCAACTCAACACAGCATTAAATCAAATAAAGCAAACGAAAATAAACGCGAACTCAAAGAAAAAACTTGTAACATGCAACTGGCTCGAGTATTTAAAATGCTATCAACACCCAAAATAAATTACACAGACATACCAAAAACTGAAACATATGAACAACAAAGGAGACAGAACACTTTCAACATGAAGTTCTGATGATGAGTAAACATCACCACGTTATTATTATTATTACATGATCCAACTCAATTACACAGAACAGTCTTTCCATGTACCAGATGAAAAGCCGGTGCCGCGTCGGTGCCCAAACTGAAGTAGATGGAGTATGACTTGAACTCATGACCTATCAGCTTAAGCCGAGTGCTCAAGTCAATGAGTTCATTTAAAGGTGAGTTAAACAACAGAAAATTATTTATTTATCTAACTTTATACAAACTGTTGGAGGTAATGAAAAATTCAACGCCAAATGAATGATCCATGAAAGCGTGTATACCCCCTAGAAAGTAGGTTTATTACTCGTGGTCGCGATAGACGCCATGGCCACTAATATACAGCTTATATCTTCATGCGATACTGACAATAATAATGATAACAATGATATTATAACAAAAATAAAATATATAGGCAAAAAAATATTGCCGACGAGACAAAAAGAAGCGATAAAAATTACGAAGAACCAAACTAAAAGTTAAAAGAAAATGCAAATAAAAAGTATATAAGCATGCAAGCAAGCACACATATAAGTCGACATTGAGTAAAACACAAACAATGTATTAGATGAAGAAGAGTGTGAAACGAATGGAAAAGATGAGGTTAGTAATGCGGAAATATATGAGCATTGCATACATTTCTAAAGTATAACACTAAATATATTAATTGTTATAGTGTTGACGTGAGGCTAAAGTAAAACTCGTCTATATGGTCACATACTAAGGAGATTTACATTAAACTTAGGGTTACATATTATTACGTGCATGCATCTAAATCATCAGTTTGGTGAATTGAATCAGTTAGGACAACTATCTTTGGGCAATTATCATTGAACGAAACCAAACTGCTACTGTAGGTTTTCATTGCATAAGATAAGATTAATACTAGGAAGTAAGAAATGTGCGAGCTTCACAATTACACTAATCATATACTTCTATTACGGTCATATCAGATTTATGAGGCAAAACTAGTACACTCTCTATAATCTGCTTGATAGAATAAACTTTGACTGCTCTAAATAATACTGGATGCCATGAGCTGTGGTTAACAGAAACCATACAAGCTGTGCACACACACACACACTGAGGGCAGAAAAACACGTTCATGTTATCTAATTAAACAAAATGTAAACGCTTAGTTCATTTATTAGCACATATATATAGCACAGGGGTTTGAAATTAGTTCACAGAACGGGTTTTTTATACCCCAGGCTATGAGCCACACTTATCTGCAGGTAGGCTGATGTACTACCTCTTCCTTGTTGCCCATTCTACAGCAGGTGGGGGGGGGGGATTAGAACCCAGAGCTTTTTAGGTGAAAGCTGAGCTCTTAAGCCCATGAACTGTCTCCACTAATATGTCATAAATTACTATATTGCTTGGTATAAGATAAAATAAGAAACGTACCGGCTAAGTTTACGAAGGTTTTGCAAATCCCGCTCTACAATTCGCTTAGCTTCCATCACCTCTTCAAGGTCTCGCTGCATTCGACGATATCTTGCAGTTACTCGTGTATTCTCCTCTTCGAGAGCTTCTAACTCGCGCTTACTTCGTTTACAGTTTGATTGAGCTTTTTCGAAAGATTCTTTCAACGATTCATTGCATCGTTTCAAATCTTCATTCTAAAAAGTTTTAGAAACATTTAAGGAAATTTAAGGAATTGGCGGTGTTTACAGAGTGTCCGCGTTATAACTCAAAATTTACGTTACGATTTGCAGTTCGACATAACTGAAACTATTGAGACCGATACACAAGCATCAAGTTAGTTAGTCAACAGTATAATTTGATTTATGTAGAATTCTTCAGACACAAAAAAGTGGGACACTGACCTGTAAGAGGAGGTCTTTGTACTTTTTCTCGGCTCGACGTAAGTTTTTACTAGCATTCAACTTTTCAAGTTTTTCTGATTCCAACTGTTCATCTAGAGACGCTAAGCGAGATTCTAAGGACGAACACTGAGCCTTCACACGACGTCCACATTCTTTCTCTGCTTCAACTAATTTCTCGCGCAATTCCTTAACCTAAAAAGCGTACGAAGGAAAAGAGTTTATTCATCATCAATAAGAGGAACAATTTAGTTTGACATTATGGTGTAAAAAGAAATGTTACAGCACTTCACGCACCTGTTTTTCAAGTGTGATTCTTTGAGACTCTGAACGCGCGAGGTTATTTCTCTCAATAGTTAGGTCTGTTTGAACTTGCTCCATTTGACTGAATGCTTTCTTATGACGTTCCTCAGTAGAATCCATAGCACTTTGTAGCTCTTCTAACTGATCTTCTAGGGCAGTGATACGAGCTTCTAGACGCTTCTTTTCCTCCAGTGCTGCCGTTCTGAAAGATGCACATATAAGAATCGTAAGTGATGGATTTTAAAGGGTGATATTCGTTACTCATAATTCCGAGGGAAACACACAACTTACTTGGCTAAATTCACTGAGGTCAGTTCTTCCAAGGCTTCACTTACATCATTCTTTAATGTACGGCAGTTTCTTTCGCTTGTACTTAAGTCTTCTTGTAGTCGGACTTTTTCTGAATCTAAGGTGCGATACTTTTTGTCCAACTCTCGTGAAGCTTCTAAGGCTTGATCGCGAGCACGCACAGCATCTTCAAGTTCCCGCTGAATACCACCACTAACACTCTGATATTTTTTCAGCTGCTTGACAGCCTCTTCTTTCTGTCGATTTGCCAACTCAAGACGTTGGTTAATATCTACCAGATCAGCTTCCAACTTCTTGCGAACATTAAGGTGACTGGCACGTTCCCTCTGTTCTTCTTCTAATTCTGTCTCCAGTTCTCTAATTCGTTTAAGAGACTGACGTCTTTGCTCCTCAAGCAAGTCGTCGCGAGAAGCTAGTTCTCGTTCCAAATGTGTTCGAACAGCATTCATTTGAACCTACATTCCGCAGAAATGAAAGTTTCATGAAAATATTAGAAGTATATTATATATATATATATATATTTTTAATGATAAAACAAATTTATTCTTTACAATATTTACCTCTGCTCGTTGCTTTTCCATTGTAAAAGTGGAGATTTCATCTTCTAATTCGTCTATTTGCTGTTGTGCCTCTTTCAGTCGTTCATTCAAACGATAATTAGTCTGTTCTAATCCGACTAAACTTTTACCTGCATCATCTCCATGAGAACCAAGTTCCTCTAATTCTCTTGCCAACATTGAACGCTGACGCTCTGCTTCTTCCAGTTGTTCTTTAAGTTTCTCAATTTCATTCTTTTGCGTAAACAGTTTGGTGTCTTTCTCAAGCATCTCTTGATAGAATGCTTCTTTTTGTGTTTGGAAACTGTTAAGTTGATTAACTGTTTCTGCATGTATCGACTCTAACTTCTTAATTCGGCGTTCATTGTTAGCTTGATCAGATCGTTGACTGGCCATCACATGATTCATATCTTCGAGCTAGAAAAAAAAACACCACACAAAGTTGTGAGATAATCATTGTGAACAAAAACATCATTTTTAACTGGAGTAGGAATAATAAGAAAGGCGCTATTTAATAAAACTTCACAAAACATGAGCGCGAATTGAAATTTCGTTATGATTAAATCCTAAATAAATTCGAAACAACATTTCTAAACAAGTAAACTAGAGTTTATTGTTTGATTGAGTAAACCTTCTTTTACACCTTCACCCTTTATGATAATCCGCAATTTGTGTCATAGGAAATATTATTAAGGTAACATATTTCGAATGTCCATAGACACTTTAGGAGTCGATGATCAAGATGGTTTTAAAAATGTAAATGCTAAAATTATGTCATTACCTATTCAAACGTGTAGGTGAAGAAAAGAATCATTTGACCAGTGAGAAAAAAGTGCAATTTAAGAGTTGAAACAACTAACACTACTTACTTCACTTTGTAATTTCTTGCGCGATTTCTCCAACTTTTCAACTTGTGAGACAAGTTCTTCATTACGATTACGTGTATCATCCAATTCTCGCTGAAGCTTTTTACGTGCATCTTCAAGTGATTCTAGCTGAAGTGTATCCTCTTCAACTTTCTTCTTAGCATCTTGCATCTGTGTGGGTATAGTAAATAATCAGAAGGAAAGTAAGTAAATATTAAATAGACACTATGAGTAAGTATAGGTTGTTTAAATGGGTGGAATTCATTGAGTATTGAGATCGTAGCAATGACAGAAATACGGTAAATGAAGTCATTGTTTGAAAAATAAATAAATAAAAAACATTGCCTGTGTGCCGACAATAAATTCAAATTCACAATTTTTCACCAACTGTTTTGAGGAAATAAAGCCTTTTTTCTTGATTGTGGTTATTCAAGTTACTGTATTATCATGTAATTGGTAGTATTCTGCTATTCTATAAAGATAAAAAGTAAATATAGCAGGTTTTGCTGTTATTCAAATATCAGCACTTAGAACAGGTGGAAGATGGCGGCATCTGGAAGGAAGACTGCGTATCCGACCAAGACAAATACTTGTTTCGGCATAAAATACTTTTGCATTTTATTAATAACGAGCTATAAAAATCCAGGCCACAGGAGGCCGAAACGAGCCGTCTATATTAAAACCTAGGAAAACAAAGTTTTTCAAAACAGATAAAAAACAACGGTAAGTCTAACAGATGCAGGTGTAAACCTGAATCAAGTTAGAAATCTAAATAGGCAGTCTCTGCCTCGTCATCGGCAAAGGGCCTAGGAAACTGTACAAGATGCACTAACTGGACAGCTCTTAGTCTTAATTTACTACTTCCGATCCGGTTGCGACTCGTGTGTCGTGTTGAATTTTACTACCACACATCAAATTTAGACTGAACAAAACAAGAGCTACAGTTTTAGCACAATAAAATGGTACCATCTGTTAAAACTGCAGTTCTTGCTTTGTTCAAATTCATTAAGGGAAATAAATGTATGAAATTAAGATTGGCCCATCAATCGAAGTTTGGTTAAGATAATCTAACCTATGAACTGTATTTACATGCCATTAATGACATAAATTGTAAACAGCTAAGAAATTTAGTACGTAAGATAATGTAAGAATAGCCTGAAGTTAAAATCTGGTAGATTGTTCGAGTGAGAATTAGATGAGCCAAAAACTGAGCAGAAAGTGTCACATTGAGATCACAAAGAAGTGGCATTTAATCTTTGGGTGCAGTTTATCATAGTGGCTTAAAGTTGTACTTTGCAAACTTTCCTTCCACATTTATAAAAACAATACAAAAGATAAATAAGTAGATTTGTAATTACCTGTGTAGTTAAGGTTAGAACATGCTTTTCCAAAGCAACTTTGGCTTGCTCCTCAGCATCTAATGAATCTTTTACTGATTCCCGTTCATCTTCTACTTGACGCAACTGCAACTGTAAACTTATTTTTGCCTGAGTTTCTTCATCTAGGCGTGCACGAAGATGGCTTAGTTCAGCTTGAGAAGACGCCTCAGAACGTGCAACCTTGCCTAGTTTTGTTTCTGTTTCTTCCATGGCATTATTTAAGCCTTCAATTTCATTCAATGCCTTGTTCAGTCTGGATTCTAAATCACCACGTTGCATTTCTAATTCTTGGATTTTAACCAAACTTTCATTCAGCTGTTGTTCACCCTGACGTCGACGTTTGTCCATCTCTGCCCTACACATTCAAAAAAAGAGCAAATAAAAGCAGGGGAAGGTAATGTCCACCAAATTGATTCAGCATTCGACACAAGATACGCTTACAGAAATCTAGCTCACGGTAGTACAGACATAACTTTACACATCAAATATTCAATGGATTTTAATCATAAAAGATACACAGTTATCCCAAAGATAAAAATAAAACTATAATGTGTAAATATAGCAGTTAAAAGGAAACAGGTCGAAAGAAGAAAGGTTTCTAATGATATAAAAAGAGAATAGACTAACTTGTCTGATCTAAGGCTTTGGATTTGTTTCTGTAGTTCCTCAGTTGCTGAGTCCTGTTGAAGTTTAGATCTTTCCAATGACGTTTTACTCTTTTTCAGTTGTTCGATCTGTTCATTTAGTGTTTCTAGAGCTGCAGCATGTGATTTACGCGTCTCCTGAATTGCAGTTTCATGAGCACTGTATGAAGTATTTCAAAAAGAAACGGTATAGTAGAATAGCAACAATAAGACGTATACGTTTGAAATTAAAGATTTATTACTTAAATCTAATGAGACTGTGACCATCGACGACAAACATAGTAAAAAATAATGTCCAGAATGGCGAGGGCCAGAGTTAATTTTAAAAAGTAAACAACACCTTCAGCTAGTGATACTTTAGGTTCGAATAACCCAAACAATAAACACTTCCCAACACAACTTAATAGAACTTCCCAAATAGATGAGGTAACTCTATCCCATTATGCATCATTGATAAATGGATGTGTATGTAATCCACGTCAGTTTCCTGAATGACTGGCTATATTTGATTTAACGTCTATACCGATCAATTTTGATAACTGTGAACTAGAAGCAAATGCAATACGGATGTTTTATTCCTCAACGTTCCGAGTGGGACATAAAACTTCAAGATAGAGCTTCGAAGATTCCGTAGCAGTGGTTATATTTTTTACGGGATTAGGTTGCTAGTCTCACGCCAAACCTTCTCTCTTTACTGGCCTAGAGAGGTTAGGAGTGCGCCGGCCGAGGATCGAACCGCGCGCGTGCTTTGGCGAGCGTTCTACCACTGAACCAACTACGCACAGTACTGATTGGCATACCTTAAAACAAAAACATCTGACAGCAAGATAAATTTGCCTATGACCGACAAGGTTAAGGCCTTCCGTTCATCTAAACAACAGTAGCATATCATAATTTCTTTATCGGATTCGTACATACGTAGAACACTATAAGAGCTTCATTATGTGTAGTGTATGGATGGAAAGGATGTAATTCGAAAACCGTTGGGTAAAAAATCATGCATAGAGTAAAAACTAGTACTACATAGCTGCCCAAACTTTGATGGAATGCAATGAAACCAGCAAGCGAAACATATAGCGAATAATTCTGAGACATGTATCTTACTTGGACTGAGCTTCTAGTTGGTGACGAAGACCAGATAAATCAGCTTCATACTTCCGCAGAGCTTGTGTTTGTGCCTCACTGTTTGTTCCACTATCAATGAGCTCTAACCGCATAGCCTCAACTTCTTCGGTAAGGTCTCTTTTAGCCTCATCCGCCTTGTCACGCGCTTTTCTTTCGGTTTCCAAGTCTTCATTGAGCTCTTGAATTAGCGATTCACATTCTCGTACTCTTTTCTGTAGCATAGTCTTGGCAACGATCTCTTCATCGAGTCGGCTCTGTAGCTGAGCAACTTCCGCCTCTAATTTAGCAACTGTTGCTCGAAGTTCATCAACAAGCCGTAAACTTTCCGAAGCTTGGTCAGAACGTTCAGAAGCTTCTGTTTCCAATCGTCGTTTAGCCATCTCAATATCTTGACGAGATTTCTGTTCACGGGCAAGTTTATCCTGGAGTTCAGTAAGACCACTTTCGTGTTTACTTTTAAGTTTGGTTAGTTGTTTAGTACGTTCCTCTTCTTCTGCTAACTGACTGCTTAAAAGTTCGATTCTGTCAGTCCACTGCTTTTTGTCTTTTAAAAGTTTATTATATTTATCTTCAATGCTAAGATAGCTATCGTTAAGTTGAGAAATCTTTTGTTCAATAGAAGTCTTTTCAACCTGCAACTTTTGACGTTGCTGTTCCTCAAGTTCTAGTTGATCTGATAAGTCCGTTATCTAGACAGTAAGAATAAATAAATAAAAGAAAGGTAAGCAGTGAAAATCTGTTATAGAAATAATCATGTCAGAATGTTCACCTTCGTCATTTTTTCAGTGGTCAAACTGGTCACAGGTTGGTAAGTTTGTAGCCAACAGGTTTAGGCATAATCGGCGTTCAGTCAGTCGGTGACTACTTTTAATCATGTTCCACCTAATGCAGTTAAGGGAGCAACGAAGTGGCCACTAAGTATTACAAGGAGACACTGCTTATTATCATGGGAGTTGGGGGGGGGCACACATGCGGCTACTGAATAACATTCGCATGTATCAACAAATAAACATAGTCAGTTAGTGCGGTAATAACAACAAATGAACAGTTTTGATAACTTGTGAAAATGATAATCTACTGCGTGTAATTATCCAGTAAGTTAACTTGGAGACGGCAAACTTAAATAAAATATGCGATAAACACCGAAACCCCTGAGATCATTTACAAATTGCAATAACAATAAAATCACAATCTATTGAAAATAATGTATAGATGAACTATAGAAATTGAAAATAGGCATAGATAACATTCCATTCAATATAAAAAGAATATACACCATATGACTGAAAACAATACATCGGAACACTCATCACAGTCTATAATCAACACCCCCCCCCACCAAAAGAAATATGAGAATAAGTGGTAGGCTCAACACATCAAGAAGTATGAATGCATTGACACGAATTCTGGGATGATAATATGGAATTTTAGAACTCACTTGTTCTAAAAGGCGTTTTTGTTCAGATTCCAGAGTTTGTAGCCTCGACTTCTCTTCATTGTCTTTATTTTCTAGCTCTATATAATCTTCTTCTAAAGACTGTAATTTTTCTCGTAGACGATCACGTTCCTATAACATAGAATAGTAAACACCAGAGATCTAAGCAACTGCACTCAATCAATACTTTCGTAAATGGTATTACAGTTAATAAACAACATCGTGAGGCGTAAACAATTCAACTTGATATAAACACATAAATAAATAAATAAATACGAGCTTACCACTTGCAAGTTTTGGTTAGAATCATGCTCTTGTTGTAGTTCAGCATTCAACTGAGCCTTCTCATTACTCATTTTTTCATATGCTCTTTGCATTTCACTTAGATCATTTACAACTTTTTCCATTTGTTCTCGAATCTTAATGAGGAAGAAAAAACAGGGACATCAGTAATACGATTTAGTAAATTTTGTTTATGTAACTAAAAACAGAGTAAGTTAGAATAGAGAAATACAAACACTGATGTATCCTACACTTATTATTTGCAATTTCCGCTAATGTATTTACACAAGGCTTAATATGAATGTGGACAACAGACCTACAAGATTATGTAAAACACCGTATTTTTTCTCATTTCCGTTAATTTAAGTTGACGAAGTGATAATTATAGATTCAAATCTCTCAAAACGGAGTATACGTTTCGCAATCGCTCCAATGCATATTGATCAGATTACCGCTCACACAGAGGAGTTCATCACCCGTTAGACGTGTAACTTGGAATATGAAATAGTGATTCCTTTCAGAATAAAAGTTTAACGAGTCTAATCTATGTAGAATTTTATTTATTGTTAATGTACAACCTGATGCAATACTGTAGTGAAATGCTGAGAATTCCATTCTGTATCACAAGTACTGCTTTGGAATAAGGGAAATTATTATTATTATTATTACAGTAATGAGCCCCATTTTGACTCCCACTGTGTGGTTAACCTTACAATATACATATTGAAAGTACAGTTATACAAATTTGTTTTCTAACTAACTTTTCTAAGCTCTTCTTCCTTTACAGCAACTAGGTCCTCTTGGCGTGTCACAGTGAGAAGTGGTCTAACTTTTGTGAATAAACGCCACCAGGCCCAGTTCCTCAATTTGAGGTAGGCATCACAATTTCTTTGGATTATTTTGCAGACCTGGATATTCTGTAAACGTTGTTCTTTTGCACTGGAGAAAAAAGAAAAAGATTTTTGGAAAAGAAATGCTGAATGATATCAAGTTATAAGGACATATATACTAGAAGGAGCTTACTAACCCGCTAGAGACAATAGGTACTCCAATATTTGGCCATGTTAAAGGCCATTAGAATACTAGAATGAATTCGGACAGTCTATTCAGCAGTTATAAAACTAATGCTTAGTTCACTGATTTGCACATCCGTATTGTTGCACAAAAAACATGAAAACTTTTTGTTTACTAAAAGTAACATGATTTTAAGGTATATATATATATATATCCTATTCTACATATATACAGCCATTTGAAATGCATTCACTAACGCTATAGAAAAATGAAGGAAATCAAAATCGCAGTAACTTACCGTCGAGCTAGATAGCCACGAGCATATGCCTGGAACTTAATAATAGTATTCGTTAGGTGTATGTCACGATCCTCTTCCAATTGAGCAAGAACACCAACTTTGAAAAATATCTTACTATGGCCAATACAATAAACTTCAGGGCTTAAATCAAGAGCCTTTAACATTTCAATAACAGCTTTACGACCATCCATAAAGCCCTAAATGGAAATGATATATGATGATTTAGTTTACAAACCAGTTCACCATAACAATTTTCTTAAATAACAAAACATTTTTACCTGTTTGACCAGTATAATGCGCTAAAGATAAACCCTTACCTTTTAAATACTGACATGAATGTATGAATCTTGAAGCAATGAGGAATCGATAAAAGTCAAGCATTGCTACAAATTTCACAGTATTTCAGATTAATTTACCCGTTTATTATACAGTGACTTGTGACCAACATTTGAAAAAAAATAATGTTAAGACAGCAGAAGTACTTGGTATGACTATTTTACTCTTTATGCAGCAGCACAATTCGACACTGGAAGTTGAGTAATTTTTCTCACAGCTTTGAAATCGATTAAAGTGTGTGCTTGGAAGCGTGAATTTTCTGTCAAATGAAATCACACTTCTAGGACGCCTGTAGTACATAGATGGGATATTGATTACTATTACAAGGCTAACTGGAGATTTAAATCCCTCCTAGACTTTATCACCACACAAACTAGGCACACTTGCACGAATTCCTTACTAAGAATAGTTTAAAACTGACAGTCTACAGGAAGCAGGACGTTAGGCAAAGTAATGAAATGGTAGTGTAAATCTGTTGCAGCTATAATCAAATATTAAATTCATCAAAAATGACGAAGCAATGTGACGCTCAAATGAAATATTACTTACCTTCGGAATAACGTTAGGAGTCAAAATTTCGTATCTCTGTCTAAACTCTTGGAAGAGGATACGTGATGGAAAACCTCGGCGACAAATTCTGATCCCCTCCAAAACGCCATTGCATCTAAGTTGCTCTAGGACTAATGGACCATCAATTCGACCAGGCTTTTTCTCGTGATTTGGAATAATACAACGGACGAAGTTGGGCGATGTATTTTTTTAACACGGTCATTAGGCGTATGAGTGAATCCTTGTACAATTGACTCACAGTGCGAAACATTCCTCTTCTGACGCCACGAGCAGAACCGAAAGCAGTGTCATTCGTCGTCGTGGCAGACATGCTCACAATTTCTGCATCTTTCCACATAGCCTGTGGAAAAAGGGTTGAAGAAAGTCAGATGTTAACAAAGTTAAACTTTACTGAGTGTTACAGGAAAACATGGGGAGAAGAAAAATGGTGGACTTAGGCTGTTCAGTCTTTTGTGACAAAACCAATGATTCCCGCCAGGGTCGTCCAGTGTCTCCACGTTTTGTCTTATTTTATCATGGGTGCACTAATGGATATGACAGTGATCAACTTCGGAAGTCTTGTTGATTTAGCGTATGAAGGCGATTCAGTCGTTTCGAGATAGGGAGCTAAATGGTGAATTTGCATCAGACTAAATGGAATTACTGCTGACGAAGTTTTAGTTCGGATACAAATGGCTCGTCTGGTATTTGCCGTTGTGTCGTATTTGAAGCAAGCGTGATATCCAGCTATAGATCAAATGACATATGTGCTGCGCAGAAGTACGCTCCGTTCTTCCATACATTTGAGACGTAGTCGCTAAAGATGGAAAGATGGGATAAGGCCAGCCATCTCTGATCATAAGTTTTTGCATCCTATCTCTCGTGCTAGGCAGTAAAAAATGCCTCATAATAATGGGGTTAGGCATGAAGTGCTGAGTTAGGCTGGAAAGTAAATTGATGAGCTTTTCAAGCCGCATCGATTGTGACGTGTATTTACACATGAGAAATGCCGACCAACACGGGATTAGATGATCCATCTATAGAGGTGATTAAATCACAATATCAAAATATGGTATGATTTACGGAAGTCTTTGGTTGCTCTTCTGAATCACACAGTGGGAGTTCGGATTGCCTGGCCTGGATCCCTGTGACACCAGGAATCAATGGTGACAATGGCGCAGATGCATTCACTCTTCATGGACTCTCAGATCCATTGCATTCTCATCATTCTTTCTCTGTATATTCTCGTTTACTATAGATCCTCTGTTTGTTTTTCTCCCCCTTTGTGTACTACTAGGATGTGTGGCTACTTGAATTTAGACATTTGGGCAAAGTTCTATGGTGGATATTCAGTTTAGCTCAGTTTTGAAGTGTGTATATCCAAGTTGTGACACCTTAAAACATCACAGGAAAATGAGACAAGTTAAATTTGAAAAAATAACTGTATGTGAAAAGATAAGGAATTTTGTTTGTAGATCAGATGAGTTATTAACCAAACTGTTATTGCACATTTTGAATAAATTTAAGGTTAAAGGCAACGAGACGTCGTAAACCATAGATTGGATCATCACAAACTAACCTGAACGAAAGGATCATTTGATGCTTGAAGTAAAGCGACAACATTATCATTAAGCGGATCCATGTTTTTCATTAACCATTGGTTTGAATTATAATCCACTCGACCAGCATAGTGTATAACGCCAAAATCAGCATTGGAACGAAATTCTGTTTTACACAGCTTAGGATGCTTATCCTGAGATTTGATAAGTTTTTCGACAAATGACTTATCAGTTGCCTTGGGGAAGAAGCATTCTTCATCCAATAAAGCGAAGATACCCATAGGCTAATCAAAGAAAGTAAAAATATTGCCGATTGTTATGCATATGCATTTTCATCTTCACTTTTCTAACCATATTAATCATTTTCAGAAAAACCACCTTAATTTGTTAGTCGAAATTGTATTGACATGACATACAGCTAGGGGGAAATGACAAACTACTGAAAGGTTGAAGAGGAAGATTTGTCTAGATTTCAAAGTGTCATTTAGCAACATTTAATTACCAATTTAAGCCATGTGAAGGTGAATTATACCTCCCCTTCTGCTATGGAAAACTTGGGGACGCATTAATCACTACGTTTGTTGCATTGTAAATTTTAGTAGCATCGCTAGTTTTGATAGCTCAATAACAAACAAATTTGTTCCACCTGACTAAATATGGAAATTTATGCCGTATCACAGATCCTTACAACAAAACATGATCCAACCTGTATTTGCTGAATTGACTATCGGGATGTGTAAAGTGGAACTAGACTCAGCTTTTTTCTACACAAAGAATCTGAAAAAAACACTGTGAACCATGTGGAAACAACGCTAGGATTCTACGTTTAGTGACGGCCGAATGAAGATAGCAACTGGTTTGTAACACAATGTCATCGACGAGTATTCCAGAAAGAAGTAACGGGTAAACGATAAATTTTCACACATAACAATGTAGTTTGTCTGATGACTGATGAATCTCTGAGTTACTTAAGAAAAACTCCAAAATCCTGCGATACATACTCTCCGTGTGTGTGTATGTGTGTGGAAATGCTATTATTTCCAAGAAATGACTCACCCGGCCGAAACGAAAATGTGAGGATCGACAAATGCACTGCGGAATCGCGACAACTAAGGTGAATTTTATGAACTAGGTAGTAAATTTTTTGAAGAAACGAAATGACATAAAAGGAACAAAGATGCAGTCGAGTGTTACGATAGGTAATAGTAGCATAAGTATTCTGTAGCTTTCAGACTTGCATGATTCAGTAGTCATACATAACTACTACTGCTATTTCTAACACCAAACACAAAATCGATAATACGCCTATATTCAGTAAAACAATAGCGAACACACAATAATACGTATAACAGTAAAGATGAGTTAGACACTGAGAGATAAATTCAGTACATACAATTAGATTGTTTGTTTTTCATACCGTGATCATAGGAATAGGAGTAAATGAACAGAGTAACTTTTTCATAGTTTAAGGCGGTGCATATCATGGGGTGACAAAATACCAGATGTAGAGTGAATTGACTTAGAAACTAAAGTAGTAAAATTGGAACACAGATATATTCAAAGGCAAATTAAATCTAAGCTTTATACTGTAACAGAAGTTGTAAAAAACATACATCATTCAAGAAAATCGATGGTCGAACACCTGCAAGAATCGCCTTGCTGTAGTACTGTTGTTTCGTAGAAAGAGAAACTTTACATGAACCTCAACCTAAAAGCTGACCTACAGTGAGGAGAGTATTGGTTTTTTTAAGAACTTTCTTTACAGTGACACTGAAAGTAGTGCTCTCCAGTCGCCCATTGGTTCGCAGAAACCTCGCACTTGATCACTCCTACGTGTGTATGTCAGTTTGTCTGTTGCTGTGGAGCAAGGTATATTGATCGCTCGGCGGGAATCTTGTCTAAAAGGGTTCAAAAGAACACTATCCCACATAGTTGAAGAAAGCTAGTGGCTCTATAAGGAGTACAATAGTGGAACACCTTGTTATCATTGGTCATCCCATCTCAACAAACGCCTCCTCCAAAGTAATCTACAAAGTGAAGAATAACCTGCCAAAGGCAATACGCTTTCGCCTTCTTTCCATTGCTGGAGATTTAGCTACTCAGATAAAGAAATCGGAGCTGTGCATATAAAAGAAAGTTGTCCAAACACTTTTACTATCATGGTAAAAATCTTGCTGATTTCTACTAACTGCTATTTTGTTGATTTTTTTCTAAATCCTCATAACTTTTGTACTTCTCTAGGACTCTTACGTAATTCCATGTTTCTCTCCGTTTCTATGTGCATCCTGATTAAAATTCATTCAAGTTATTCACCTTATTACGTAGCCCGAATACACTTATACAACTCCGTTTATGCATTAGTAAGTATTAACAACTATGATTACGACAACTCATCACTTTGGCAGACATCGTTCGTGAAAAAAATTTAGAAGTGCGACTGCACAGATAAGGGGGAAAATGAATTCACTGAAGAGAGCCTTTTCGCCGAACTGTTTGTCTTGTTTTTATGAAAGTTTCGTAGACAAAAAAGTAACTCCGCCGATGAATAGTGCCAATAATACAGTACTATTCTGTCTGATAGAGGTGATATCTGATGGCAATTTCAAATTAAGTAGCGGTTTCACAGTATAGGACACAATATAAATATCGATTATTAAAGTGGGTATATGGGAATCGGCACACATTCATATTACAGCATGTAAAAATAAATGCACAGAAACTTACATTGCAAACAAAATAAACATATAATGAAACAAAGGTAGTAAAGAATGTCCATCACTGCTTCCCAATGGAATAATTTACTTACACGTTCAATCAAATCAATTGTAGGTTGTAAATCCAGTCCAAAGTCTATGAATTCCCACGGAATACCTTCGCGTGTGTACTCATCTTGTTCCAATATGAACATAGTGTGATTAAAAAGTTGCTGAAGTTTCTCATTTGTATAATTAATACACAATTGCTCAAACGAATTCACCTGCAAATAAAAATAAACCAGTTACATTGATTAAGTTGGTTTTCACAATGAAACACTTAAACTATGAGGTTAACTTCAGCTAACTGTTGTTGCTATGATGAACACCGAACCAACTTCATTACTACATTGGAGATGTACTTTATTGATTTACGTAATTAACTTTCAATCAAAAGACCACAGGTTCAAAAAATAAGTGCGTAAGTCTGGAAAACTGAGTAGTATCATGAATTGTCACAATGAATTTGTCTCACGGCCCAAAATATAAAAGTTATATAAGGAACAACTATAGTTTACAATTGTATCTTCTTTATTAAGTTTACTTTTGAGAGGGAATAGCACAAGCATCTCCATGTTATATTTGGAGTGAATATCTACAAAGCTGAAATCTGAAAGTCGGTCTGAAGTGTCTTTCACTACATTACAACGAAATGATACTGGTTGAATATTTACACCTTCCCGGTTTAGACAACACAACCATATACTAAACAGTGTAGCAGATTACATCACACAGTTAAGTTGAAGGGAAAGATGTGGACTTTTCATTTGAAACGCTCAGTGCATAAGAAACCAGAGATATGATATTTGTTGTCATAGCACAAATGCAGAAATTTTGCAGCACTGAGAAAACAATAAGTATTTTTACCTTCCTAAAGTTTTCTGTCCTAAGAGCCCTTTTTTAACTTTATATTTGTTAAGCAACTATCCCCTTAACGCATTATTAATGAATGATTATTGCGTTGTAGAAAAAATCAGATTAAAATATTGCTGCTAAGCTACACGTTAATTTATGCAGATAAATTGTGTGAACCAGACGACTTTTAAAATCTTAACGTTCCAAAACATAGTGACTATTCTACCAAAAAATAGGTGAAACAGACCCGATTTGGATTCGCAACACAACTTACTTGAAAAATCTCAAAACCTGCAATGTCAAGAATTCCAACAAACGACGCTCCTGGTCGCCTAGTTTTATCCAATGTCTTATTTATTCTAGCGACTAGCCAAAGGAATAGCTTTTCGTATATAGATTTTGAAATTGCCTCGACAGCGAATTCAACCTGGGTCTTCGTCTGTGCTTTTGATACCAAATCTTTGCCAACTTTGATGCGGGGTTTAAGAAATGCTTTGGTCATTTCATTTAAAGGAATACCCAGAAGGTGAGATACCTTTTCAGCAACTGAAAAAGATGAAGTATCCATTATTTGCCACAGAATAAAACTCGGTGAATTGATAATCTTGACCAAAACTAGTGTAATATGTAGTAATAGCACAGCATACAGAGCAGCATATGGATGTATATAATCTCACAAAGTGGCAAATAAGTTACTAACCTGAGTGGTCTGGTAAAGTTGCTTGGTCAGAATTTCTCTCTTGACGGAACTCAAAGTTCCCCAAATGAAGTACAGCTGATATTACACGGAATATAGCTGGAGTGGTAAAAGAAAAATATTACAGTCAATAATGTGGATCGCTGAACTAAGTATTTATACTACTCAATGAAATACTACAATAAAGATAAGCAGTTAATAAGCTCACCATTTTGATCTTCACTATTTATGCCCATTATGTCCATAGCTTCAGTTGTCTCACGGAAAAATTGCTGTTCATCAATCCCTGGTAGTTCAATCATGCCATTTGAGAGGAAGCGGTATGAACTAGCATTGTTTAATAGTAGTTGTTGTTGCATAGTTGGGTTAGCTGAGGCCAGAAGTTGATAAAATATGTGGAAACTACGTTCATCTGGCGCTTGACGAATAACACGGGCTTTCTCTAAAAGATCTTCAAAGCGATAAGGAATTTACGCTTTATGTACTAAGTAAACTTGAAAACAGATGACTATTTATGTTGGTCATGAACTCCATATTATTCATGTAAAAATATGAACTGTGTCCCAGATAAAGGAATGATCCTTAATGCTCTAAAGGAAATAATAGTTCTTGCTGAGTCATTCCCACTTGTATGATTTTCATTTTCACTAGTTAGACAAAAAGGCTTTTACAGACGTACAAAAAGAAACCATTCAACGGCTCATCTTAGTTGGCTCACTGGAAAGTACGCTATACACTAAAACATTCGTGAAAAGGATACATGTTTCAATATTAGCCCCAGCAATGAATCCGGAGGTATCGAAGTTTATGCGTATGAATTTGCCCTAAAAGAAATAATAAGTGATTATTACCCAGCAGCAAGCAGTAGTAATATAACAATACATTAATGAACTAAATAAAGACTTATTTCCATAAAAATGAAAATACCAGTTCATATTTAAAAATTAGGGTATTCAGTTTATTACATGATGTTCTGTTAGGTGCTGCTGATTAAGTTTCTACAGATACCTTATACAAGAAAACATACTGAACTACCAGGGATCCTAAATGACATTTCTGATATTTGTTTTTCCTTAGATTCCAATGATACTGGATACCGTGAAAAAAATCTACAATGAAGACAGTTAAAGTGCTCGTTTAACTTCATTCGTTAGTCAGGGTCAGAGGTTTTTACAGCTAATAACTGAACTAGGTTATCAATGAAATTCCAAATTTGAACACAAAAGCAAGTCATTTGCAGATATCCGCCTAGCAATTACCAGTCCAGTGCGTAACTTCGAACTACTGAACAATCGAGACCCGTGCGTAAAACAAAAGTTCACTATTCATAGAAAGCGAGTGACCAAGAACAATAAATAAGCAAGCAAATCCTGGGAATCAGATTGCTGGTCAACCTGTCTGATAATTCGTGTTAGAGATGATATACTGACTAGATACCCAAGCCGGAGTAAATTAGTCAACTCAGGATAGGTGGACTAGCGATTCTACGGCGAATACAATCTACCAGTATTTCGTCTACTGAATTAAGCATATCAGAAAACGGTAAATCACTTACAAAACGTGAAGAATTGTCATTTTTTATTGTCTTCGCGTTCCCAAAGGCTTCCAGAATAGGATTAGCCTTCAAAAGTTGTGCTTCAAGTTCGCCCTGTAAAATGAAAACAGAAAATACCTTCAAAAATTGGATCTATGTAGTGACAGCTAAAATATGAAAATATTGATTGGACACCAAAAGCTGCACTATAAGTGAATTATATTAGAAATGAACAGATACACAAGAATTTAAATGAATGATCAGTGAATAGATTGTGATGGACAAATATATACGATGTTACAGAAATATGGCCAGCAGGTATGGTCACAAGCAAACAAAAATTCATTTAAACAGCTCATTTTGGATACCCAACAACAATTAACTTACAATATTGACATCTTTAGCCTGAAAATTGAAGCAATCAAAAATCAATTCAAAAATACACCAGTTATTTTGAAAAACGAACGTCATGTCCAACTGTACATTATTACTGGTGGGAACTTGTCAACAGATTCAGCACAAAATATTCAGTATTAAAACTAATGAGCAAGCAGGCGGACAGTGAACTTCAGTTCACAGTTCAAGATCCAAAACCAAACGCATAGAACGAAGACAAACGTAGGGAGTTGTGCTGATGCACTTTAGTGAAGTGTTTTACCTCTCGTTTGTCAATTAACAAGCTAACACGACGTGTGGAAAACTAACTCCAAGTCGTACTAATCTCCTGTCACGTTTCGAAAACTACACATTGCCTACGTCCCTCCCTACGGTGCACAACTCAACTCAACCAGTCCACTGACTGATTATCTTACTTTTCCTGTGTGGGGAATGGTGCAGATGCAACAGAAACCATCTTACATTGATAAGATCTACGTTGTACTCACCTTGGTGAATTATAAACAAAAGACATTTTTGTCCGATCACTTTCCAGTATGGAGTGAAACTGATTCGCTTGAAAGACCATTAGTCTTCTGAACGCTCCTTAAGGAATACATTTAGCGTCAGATGCTTTACTCAAAGAAATGAATGCCGATATATTATGGAATGTCGTAAGACTGCGCATAAATCACCCATAACTATGTAGTACTAGTAATAGTAATCAATGTACATAGCATGAAATCAATCAGAACTGTTAATAAAGGCGTACATATAGAAGCACACTAAAGTTACTTAAACATCTCAGGTATGAATGGTTCAACTGCATAGGCTATTACACGTGTTGTTTTGGAACTTTTGCCTAGGCTTTATGAAAGTACTGCAATGAATACGCAGTTGCATGACTACAAATTGGGTGACAGCAAAACTTAGTGATGGTACATACCAAAATGAGATAAAACATATTACCTGCACTTGACAGGCTAATAATACTTACGTTCATCTTTGAAATCACGTTTTTAGCCGAAATCTTCTGGTGTTTTGCAGAAGTGGCCACAGACGCCAAATACTGTATAACCTTTTTAGTATTTTCAGTTTTTCCGGATCCAGATTCACCTCTAAAATATGCAGTTAGTGTGGAAAATACACTTACGTGCACAAAATCGACTGGTCCTCACGATCTGTAATGCATAAACTTAACCGAAAGACTAATTACCTTGAAGCATACTACGATAGGCTGCATCGGCGATAGCAAATATATGGGGTGGTCTCTCGTGGCGTTTTCTCCCTTTGTACCACTCCACAATATCTTCATCATATATAGGTAACCGTTTATATGGATTGACAACTACACAAAATAGGCCGGAGTATGTCTGTATAGTATATAATAGAATTATTTCGACTTACATATATCATTCCCGAGTAGTATCTTGACTTCAGATTGTGAAGGACAGATGCTTCGTTCATAAACGATAGGTTTGCCATATCTTTAATCTTGTCATACTTTGCAGGATTCATTTTTTGTATACTATCCTTAGGAAAAGTACACTTTTTCCCAGACTCTACGAGTTGTACTATACAATTATCTCCTTGTTCTTGAATTTTAACGGCTGCAACGAAGCCTTCTTTGTCATGAGGAACCCAGACCATATCTTTCGACGATAAGTCGGCTTCTCGTAAAGGCTCCTTGTCAGCACGTAGAAGTTCTGCATTAGTCGGACAAGCTGACGATCTCTTGTTTTCATCCATCCTCAAGTAACATGCGACAGTACACCGCTTCCGTATGTACAAAAACAGTATTCGCGCCGGTCCTTCGATTTGAGAGTTCAATGTCTAGCAGCTAAAGTGCTTGTCCTTCAGATCAGTAGAAGTGTGTAGATTTTCCAAAGAACTGAATAAATTTATACAGAATAATAGCAAAAGGGAAATATTTTGTTGCTTCATATCGGGAAAGACTGGTCTTAGTAAATTACCCTCATATTAACATATTAATACGTAATATCTCCTAATTTATTCGAAAATCTGAGCAGTCTTTCCAGCCGTTAACATGGGTGGATTGTTACTTTTTCCAATGATAAATTCTCTTTCAATAGAAGGAATACACAGGGAGCCACCATCTTCCCAAAGGCTTTCAATAGCTGGGGTCATCCCAACACTACTGGTCCAGAAATATATTTCGTATTTTTAACGCTACAAGAGTTGTCCTTTTATCCATCATACCTGCCTCATATCCGAACCATGTAATTGAGTTCAGTTTGTGGTTTAGGATTATATTAATGAGTAATCCTATCGTAGGTTTCTTTGAAAATATCCTACAGCCTTCAACTCGTTATCCCGAAAAACCACTGAAAAAACGGTGAGTTCGCCGCATTTATTGTTAGTTTCTTTTGCATATTTTCGACATCTTTGCCACAATACCATTATGTGTGAAAAACCTTTGAGATTCAAATACATCGAATCCATCAGCAAACTGACTCAGATCGAGCTACCTTGAACAGAAAAACCAGACAAACGGACTTGACAACGGTAATAGAAATACTGTGCGCAGTGAGTAAATCCTCAAAGTTTCGTGGCGACCGAAGAAAGCTATTAGGAGCATATTAAACCCACGTAACAGAAATGACGCAGCATATGTTTTGTCACATATCCACGTAAACTACTTTGAGAGAGGTCACACTGACATTCGAACGATTTCAAAATTGGAAGAAGTAGACGAGGAATTGAGAAGCCTAAAACCTCAGCTGGACACTACTACTTTCAAATAGCTGGTTTAGATGGCTCTCCGCCTATTGCCTGGGACTTATCCACGAAAAAACCTTGCTTCTTCGTGCCATTAGAGATAAGACGATCAGCGTTCTCCGAAACGCATAGAATTTCCAATCCTACCATTCAACCGATAGTAGAGTCACCAATCGAACACTATGTCTGGCTAAATATGAATCATGAGATTAGACAATACACCAGGGTCTGTTAAGAAATCAGCAATGTTTGTGTCGAAGATAGCAAGTGTAATCCCAACAACACCTACTGAATGCCTCTATCCTAGTACACTTTGCATATTTCAAGAATCGTTTCAGTTTTGGGACACGTAGTCAATCCATATAAAGGTGGACCAATGTCAACAGAATTAGAATCTGTCAAAGAGTAGCAGCATTTCGAGATTCTTTTAGAAAGCTACGCAGATTTCTCGGTTTAGTCAGCATGTATCACCGTCTCATTCTCCCGCTCGCACAATTATCACGACCACTGACAGATTTATTGAAAGGACGTGCGAAAATCCTACATGTGACTGCTTGGGCAACAGAATCATTCGACAAACTGAAGAAGCCGTCAGTTTCGATACGTTATAATTTTGTCAGCTCAACCAGTGTTTATGAACGGTGAAAGGCGGCATTCAATTTTTAATGGAGAATGATATTGGCTACTTATTTTGGCGAAACGCTGTAACAGCTCACTCCGTCCATGGCTTGCTTGTCAGGACTCGGTGACAACAAAAACGGGCTGGAGAAACCTAACGGTGGTGCAGTATACCATGGCGGCTCAGATTTAGTTGGTAATTTAGGAATTCAGCACGATGGGATGGGTAACTAAGCAGGAACCGTATCTTCTTTATTATTTTTGAGGCTGTCTTTATCTATTCAGTAATTCCCTTACCTGTGTTCGACTTTCCCTCTGCCATACTTTCGGAAAATGAAGTATCAAAATCACCATTAGTATTCCACAGTACTATCATCTGTCAGCATGTAATCTGAATAGTTATTTCGGTAGTAGAGTAACTTACTGAAGCACCATTGTTCGAAATCTTCCCATGGGTGTGTGTTATGATTGGCTTATTGGTAGTTTGCCTATCTCTATGTGATATGGGTACATTGCTGCGCTGATGTTCATACTCTGAATCTTTTGTTTTATGTGCTTCTTGATCAGTGCCCGTCAAACGTGTAAAAGAAAACAAGAACGCTGAGAACTTTGTCGAGGAAACTGCACCTAATATAATTTTTGAATCAGGGTATATATATATATTTATATACCATGAATCACCACAATCAGCATCTGGTGGATTTTTTAATTCATTTCGGTCAGGAAATAGAATGAATGCGAACTGATCCACATGATAGCGAATTTGTGGTGCAACCGGCATCAGTTTTCAGGGTGTTCCATATGCCGAGGAGGGTACCTGTTAATGATTCTGTCCAGTGTGGGGAATTGGACGTTGATATTCCAGGCTTAAATTCTTGATGCAGAACTATTACCAGGTCATTTTATTGAGGATAGTAGGCTACTGCGCTGAAACGCTTATAAACTAGGAATTTAGTCAGAGCTAGAGGTAAACCGCTTTCTTTTTGACTCCGGGCAGTGGTTGTCATGGGAGACGGGAATCCAAAGTTTGCGACTCATTCTTCTGCGAAAACGCCTACGACTGTTTCGGCATATACGTTCTTGGGGGGCTGTCAATGGAGTTGAAGATTGAACGATCAATTCTTGGTTGTTTGCTTAAAATCAACTTCCCCAATTTTCGCGGAAGCATCAATACGACAGTCATCGTCTCATCGGTCGCTGTTCAGAAAGAAGATTGAAACATCGTCAGAAGTAATACAATGATTTATTATTGTAATATTTGTTTTCAGACCTTAGTTCGCTTATTATTTTTATATGTTGGTGTAACAATAAAGAAATATCAAACGGCAGATCGGTGTTTTGGGTTTTTCGTCCGTTATAACTAAGCGTTTCTGAAAACTTCAAGGAACAGCGTGGGCCCGAGCGTAGCGAGAGCTGGGCATTAACGGTTTATGAGACGTGATTGACAGTTTCTGACGATAGAAACAGATCTGGCGGATTCAAACAGTTGGTGAAAGTTTGGATAGTCGCCGTTCATTTTCCTGGTGCCGGTCAAGTCCTCTTTGAACAAGCAATATCTGGAACTTTTTGGAATTGGGTCAAGTTCAACAATGCCTGGGTCAAAGAAGGGACAGAGTGTCTTGGATGCAAACAGGAAAGTAAGTCATGGTGACTTGTCCGTTAATTGTAACGATGTGTCTGATGTTAAGCATGACATGGTTGATGTTACTGTTTCGCCGTTCAGGGATAATAGGAACATCAAACTCCCTAAATTAGAACCACGGTGTTTTGATGGAAACCCGGCTGATTATTTACAATTTGTAAAGGAGTTTGAGATCATGCTGAATAGTTTTCTATTAAGTGATGAATTGAAGTTAATGTATTTGATGAGATATTGCACTGGAGATGCTTCAAGAGCTATACAGTGCTGTAAGTTTATGAAGCCAAAGGAGGGCTACGATGAGGCTATGAGCATATTACGCCAAAGGTTTGGAAGACCTTCGATGATTGCAGGGAAATTATTCGAGGCTGTTAAGGGTAATGGTGGTCAATTACAGGATGACTCCCAGGCACTCACTGAGTTTTTAGATAATTTGCTAATTTACAAGAATGGAATGATTTCGATGAATCGCATGAGTGACCTCAACTCGAGTTTTATACTAGAAGTAATAGCAAGACGTCTACCTACTCGACTGCAAAGGAAGTGGGTGAAGATAAGCTCCCGTATGGAGGATGAGGGTATCGAGCCAAAGTTTGATGATATCCTGAAACTGGTAAATACTAGTGTCAATCAATCTATGAGCAAGTTTTCCAGTTTGTTAGATCTCACCCCTAGAATAGAGCAGTCTGAGGGTAAAACGCAATCATTGATGACGAAAGGGCCTCAGAGAGGTGGATATCGAGAAGGCTCCATGATGTCTAGTAATGCATATAGACCTGGTGAGTGTAACAGGTTTCGTAGTACATGCTCAACAGATAAGTTACAAGATGCAAGACAAACACGGTTTTGTTTTACACGTGTGCAAGAGGTGCATACAGAAGTGAACTGTGAACCAGTGAGCAAGTTCAGTGATAAGCTAAATGTAAACTCCAGGTCTGACTCCGAATTGTGTGACGATAACGGTGTTGTGAAGAAGTCTGTAGTTGCAACTGGTAAGCCGTTGTTGAATAGAGTGTCACAGAATAGAGTTACTGCTTCAGAGTGGAGTTCTGACTCCAAAAGTTTACAAAGTATAACTAGTCGGAGTGAAGATATAAAACCTTTAATGATTTGTGAGGAGGAGCCAAAATTGTCTACTTCTGTTATTAAAGAGTTTGAAAATGATGAACTTGACGGTAAATTGAATATTTGTGATAATGATCATGATAGTGCAGATTTGTCTTTGGTTGATCATGATGAAATGGAGGGAATGCCTACTACTGCTAAGTTAAATAAACCTTCTGTACAACTTGAACGTGAAGTAGAATTAAATGCAGATGCAGTTGCAGAAGGCATGCATACTTGTCAAACCGTTAGTGTGATTGATCAGAGTGAAGCCCACCTATCATCAGATGCTAGTCCTAAAGCGGAGCTGATAGTAAAAGACAGCAGTGGTGGTGGTCTTGCAGGTAGACAAATTTCTGAAAAGCGAGCAACAACAGCTTTTGATCCACTGCTAAGTTCATCAACTGATATCAATCAGTCGTCGTTGGTGCTGTCATCCACAATGAAACAGACGCCCATCAACTCAAGTATCTTGTGCAATGACTATGCTAGTATCAGTTCGTTTGAAAGGACGAATATCAATGGTCAGTTTAGTGAGGATAAGCCAAGTGTAAAGGAGAGAGTAATTGTTAAATTGACTTGCACGAATAAAGGCATTTCTAGTTTCAAGTTACTATTTGAATGTTATTATCTTTGGTGTAAATTACTC